TATATATATATGTATATTTTACACCGCACTTTGTTTCAATGAGTAGTGGGAATACTCGTTATCTGTTGGGAAGCAGAGCTAAGCTACACACTACACTCCGTCACCATACCTATAGTCTATCGGCGTGCGTTGTTGACGTATAGAATTTCGGTACATGTATAGATCTACTATAATAGGTGGCGTGTAAGTTGGAGGATTTTCTTGCTGTGTGCTGGTGAAGTGACCCCTTAGTAGTCATTGCTTTATAACTGAAGGTAAACCAGCTGTTTATGCACACTTGCACTAAAGGTCTCAGCTGCTTCCATGTAACTTCCGCGCGTAGGCTCTAACACAAGAAAACCCCCACAAACTTACATACACCTGCACATGCATACAAAAATAATAAAACAATACCCCCCCCCCCAACCCTCTCCCACAACGACAAGCACATATATAAAATTTAAAAAGCTCACGCAGACACATTATGTTATATAACATATGAAATCACGTCCCCATGAACAATCACCCAACAGACAGACACCGCCTCCGCACAGACAATTTTTAATGTACCCCCTCTCAGCGGGTCCCTCCAACATCTGTCGCCTCGGGAATGTCGCACGCGTCATCAAGCACAACAATCGGGGCGAAAATTTAGTCGGAATGTGCCCGCACTGATATCTCTTAAGCCAAAGCATACGTGGAGGGTCTACCGTGATTCAGTGCTACTCGACTTTTTGCAGCAAGCGAAGAAAGCTAGGTCACAAGATCCCACCATGACGCCTACAGGATGTAATACTGTCAACACTCGACACCACCCGTTTCCCTTACAACGATAAAACGCTCTGGGATCTCGTTTCCTTGTCTACCCAACTGCTGCTAACAGTAACAAGATAGATCTACATGGGAATTTTTTTTTTTTTAAATATTCGTATTCCATAATTTTTATTTAAAAAAACACCTTTAGCCTTCAGACACAGAGAGACGCGCGTCTGCGACAGTGAGGTAGCAGGTTTTTCACACAAAATATTATTTTGATTCGCTCATTCAGACAATACTGTTCAGAACATCTCTGTCCTTTTGCTATTAGCCTGGAATATGCCCCCTCGTTTAGACTGGCTATGCCATACAGGGGCGAAGCGGCATGTCTACTACAACATGTGCTTCTGTCAGTGAGTACGTAAATCATTAGCAAGGAATGAATATGAATGACACATTAGCGAAGAAATACTAGGTAGGAAAGCTTATCTGGAAAACGACAAGCCACACCCCTCTTCAGGACACCGCAGGGCAGAGGGGAAAAGTAACTGGGTAGGACAAACCTCTATCCACCCCAATTCATACTTGGATGATTCATATTCCGTGGGTGCGACCCAAAAGAACTCTTTAACGCGCTATTATAAACTATCGTTATTAGGAGAACGACAGCAGGGCAGCTAATACAAATGAAGTCCGCCCATGTAGATATCAAAGGCTTATTTTTCTAATCGAAATAGATCACGACTGATTTCGACTGGACAGGAACCCCAACAACGGAGTCATTTGGTATCGTCGATCACAATCATTTGCTGTCACAAATTAATATATTTTAAGAGCAATGCACCAGTAACCAAAAGACCAGTTTTCAAAAGCAAATGCTGCACAGGTATCGTCGTCAATGTTTACATGTCGCTAGTTTCTAAATTCAAAATGTGTGAGTATGCTCTTCTGCAGTTCAAGCTATGCCAAGTAAGCAGACGTCTAAAACTTTGCATATATTTATATCTTCTTTCAACAAATTATACAGAGACATTATTACCAGGGCTCCTGTCTTTGCACGGGCCGGTAAACAAGTGGGCTTGAATGCAGCGCTTCTTTTAACACACACACGTGGGTGCATAAAAAGCGTCACCCAGGCATAACGCCAGTCTCCAAAATAACTTGAGCTAATTTCAGAGAGCTATTAAGAGAGGCCTAAGATTCTTTGGGAGTTGGGCCCTGAAATCAGGGCCCCCGTATTACAAGGTCTATTACGTTACTGGAATTCGAAATCTGCATCGTTATTCAACAGACACATTGTATCCCTATAACACATCCTTATCAATTTCTAAAAATGTGATTATAAGACCTACATGAACTTTTCACTGTAGCGGAGGGAAGAGATTTCCCTGGTGACACGAAGCATGTTTTGTATTTCCATTAGAAAAGCAAATCTACACATAAAAGGCCAAAGAGACACTCTTGTGATAATATAGCAACAGTACTAAATTAAAAAATTTATGTTATCGAATGGGCACGAATCTTAACATTTGGAATCACGTCCTGTAGTCGTCAGATCGACAGAAAAAGAAAGCCAATATTTTAAATAAATCTATAAATGGGTCTCGAACAGCGTAATAAATATTGCGTGGAATCTAAAAATGCATGCAATTTAATTATTTTTCAGCTGACTATTAATATCAATAGGTGGTCTTACGAATGTGTTATCC